AATTCGACAGGCGTGTACTCTCATGCTTGAAAACCGGGTGCGCTCCGGTCTCATCAGGACGCTACCGTCTTCCCCCGAACACAACGCACCCTCATTTAGGCTGTATCTGGCCGGAAATATAACTCGTATACATTCATTTTCAGGGTGCGTTATGTTCGGGGGAAGACGGTAGCCACTTGCCCGGTGCCTTAAGGCCCACCGATACACTTGCCACCCTACGAGATACAACGCAAATTTTTTTATTTTTTTATTTTTTTTCTTATATAAAATTTGGACCATTTCTCGATTTCTGCGTGTCATCCTACGCAGGGGCCATGCTAATCTTCTCTGTATATTAAAAAAAAAAACAAAAAAAAAAAAACTTCTCTGTATCGTTCCAATTTCAACGGATATATTTTTGTCTTTGGGGCAAAGTAGAGAGTAGTCGAGCGAGGCCCATATGTAGTTCTCTTCTCTTTTTTCACACCTGGGGCCTGGTCCCATCAGCAAAGAGCATTGGATTAATAATTCCTGAATCTGGATGTGTTTTGTGCAGAGATGCAGAAAGGCCAATCAATCCCAATTTTCTGCATCTCTGCTCAAAACGCGTCAAGATTTCAGAAACTATATGCAATCCTCTTTGCTAATGATACCAGGCCCCTGGAGCTACGTCCGTGGGTGCACATCTTTTTTTTTTTTTTTTTTTTTTTTTTTTTTTTTTTTTTGAGGTGCACATCTTTTTCCATCATATGTACTCTCTTTTTTTTTTTTCCCACCTGCGGCTATGGCTACCAATGACCCTCCGTATTTGATTTATTCGTTTCGACATCTAGGGGGTGATTAAATGTTCCATTTCTCTATTAATTTTAATTTAATTAATTGATTACGCAAAAATTCCCGTTCATAACCCAGAATTGAATCTTTACATTTCATTCAACTATGTGATTCAACAATTCAAAATCGCTCGACTCTCTTCCTTCTATCATTCATTTTCTTTCGACTCAACTGACAGAGCGATTCCCCATTCTCACCGACACTATCGAACTGATTGATTAATTCTTCACGTTAATAGACAAACTGATTGATTGACGGATTGATTGACGGATTGATTAACGGATTGACTAACGGATAAACTCACTGAATAACTCAATTACTGTGCTTGGTTGTTCAATTAACATTCTGTTACTCTTTTGATTTACTCGATCGATTATATCCATAGAGAAACTTACAAAATACAGTACTTCTTCCTGCCCTCTCTCTCTCTCTCTCTCTCTCTCTCTCTCTCTCTCTCTCTCTCTCTCTCTCTCT